TTGCTGTTAGGAAGTTATTCGAGAGATGAGTGTTTCATTTTTTGTTCTTTTGGAATTTTACTGATTAAAATTCAGTGGCATGTTTGATCATTGCCCTTTAGCTTTTTTAACTAAGGTCATATTTTTCATTTCCTAGATTTTGAGTATAATTATTCTTTTCTGTCATTGCCTGTCATGTTCCTTTTTACAACAAAAGGTTGGCCAGAAAACATATTCAGGTATAAGGAATTATGCTGGTTTGAGTACTGCTGCAATAACTGTGGATTAATTAGGTTCATGTTAAAGCAGATTGTACCTTAGAGCAGATCCACCCCACCTTTTTTTGCCCAACACCCTGTCCAATTAGCAGCCCAGCACCCTGTCCAAACCCTCCAGCCCGTGAAACAGCCTGGCACTCAGCCCATGCCAGGCAGCAGGCCAGCCCATTTCGGACAGACCCAGAAGCCGGTCCATTTCCCTGGCGCGTGCACAACACTCGCGACTGGGCGCGAGTAGTCGACAGTGCTGCAGCGCGCGGGCCCTGCGTTTCAGCGCAAGTGGGTTCGAACGGGTGAGGGCTACGTGGCCCTCCTCAGAGTCGTTGGATTTCCAACGGCTAGTTTTTGTAGGCCGTTGGATTTCCAACGGTAAAAAAATTAAATTTGACTTTTAAAATGGACCGTCTGATCACAGATCAACGGTCCACGTTTTTTTCACCAAAAAAAAAAAAAAAAAAGCCCAACGGTCAGAATTTTGACCGTTGGCCACGTGGCAGCTGATTAGCTGTTGGATTTGATTATTTTTCAAATCCAACGGTCCAGATTAATTACAACATTAAAATTTATTAAAAATTAATTAAAAATTGTGAAATTTTTTTTAAAAAATACAAAAAAAAATTTAAAAAAATTAATTTTTTTTTCTATAAATACCTAACCCTCATCTTCCACCTTACACCACATTTCAATATTTTCTACACTTTCTACACTTTCTACATTTGAATATTTTGTACACTTTGAGAGAAAAAAAATGACTTCGTGGAAGCTCAGTGAAGATGTTACGTTGTGTGAATGTTGGGTTCGCACTACTCATGACCCGATTACGGGTAATGAGATGGATAAGCGAGAAATGTGGAGTAAAATTACGAAAGCGTTTTGCGATGTACATGGAAAAGATGCTAGATCTAGTCAAGGTCTTCAAGGTCGTTGGAAAAAACTCAACGCATCCTTTACCTGTTGGAAAAATGCCATCTCTCATGCTTTTGGTAATCTGCGTAGTGGGACAAATGTAGAGGATGAGGTAACAATATTTTTATTTATTTATATGCATTCCACCCACATCAATATTTTAATTTATTTAATTTCTTATGTAATTTCTATGTAATATGCATTCCACGCCCATCAATATTGTAATTTATTTATTTGTGTTACACCCACATCAATATTTTAATTTATTTAATTTCTTATGTAATTTATATGCATTCCATGTCCATCAATATTTTAATTTATTTATTTGTGTTACACCCGTATTTTTTAATACTATCTTATCCCACATTTTTATAGACACTACAAGCACAAGCATTCTACAATGCAAAGAACCATAACAAATCATTCAACAAATGGGAATGTTGGCAAATTGTCAAAGATTGCCCTAGATACAAAATTGTGGCAACCGGTCCAGAAGTTGTCATGCACGGTATGGATCTACACAGTTCGCCAGAAGCAGACACAACCGAACGAGAAGCCAACACATTTGAAGACACGGAAGGGACACCTGAACAAGTGCCAGAGACCCAACCAACTCGTCAGTCTCTCAGGCCTCAAGGTAAAAAGGCATCAAAGAAAAAAGGTAGTTCTTCCAAAAATGACTACACTAAATATATGGAGGAACTTACTCATCAAGGTGAACTGAACATGGCATGGGAAAAGGTTAGAGATGAGGAAAAAGTTACTGCTATGGCAGCAATAATAGCAGCTACTAAGGCTCATGATGCGGCGGCTGAGAGACAAAGAGAAATAGTTAATCGAGAGAACGAGATGATTAGAGAAGCACTTCATCGAGAGAATGAGATGCTTAGAGAAGAAAGGATGGCTCAAACAGATCGTGACACTATGAACAAGTCTCTAGTAGGACTGTCTCTGAATTCAAAATATTTTTGAACATCAGAAAAAAGAGATGTCGTGCGAAGGAGGCATGCAAGAGATGCCGAAACAAGTCAAGGGGGTTCCAGCTACAAAAATCCTAGCAACCAAGATCCTAGCACCACATATCCTAACTCCACAGACTTTGTATAATTTCGCATTTATTTGTACTACTTTATGTAATTTCTTATGTAATTTCTTATTTATTTTTAGAACTTTATTTAATTTCTTATGTAATTTCTTATTTACTTCTAGAACTTTATTTAATTTCTTATGTAATTTCTTATTTATTTTTAGAACTTTATTTAATTTCTTATGTAATTTCTTATTTACTTTTACAACTTTATTTAATTTCGTATGTAATTTCTTATTTATTTTTAGAACTTTATTTAATTTCTTATGTAATTTCTTATTTACTTTTACAACTTTATTTAATTTCTTATGTAATTTCTTATTTATTTTTAGAACTTTATTTAAAATTACACCAAATAACATTACATAACCTCACCATTTAAACTTAAAAAAAAAAAACACAATAAAAAAAAAAAACACACCAAATAACATTACAATACACTTTATTCTTCAACCACAAGCCTTATTTTAATTATCTTCGCCTTCGTGCAATCTCCACTGATGGTCAATCAAGTCATTCTGGAGGGTTATGTACCAGTATGGCTCTTGCAATGAAGTGTACCGTTGAACGATTAATTCATTGTAACGTCCATCCCGTTCCAACTGCTCGTGTTGCACAGGATCTTCGGTCTAGTCATGAGCATAGTAGATTTGTGTTCTTGAGTTGTTCATCGGATCCGGCTCGTATTCATCGACGGCATCATAATCATACTCGTCTTCAACAATCATGTTGTGGAGAATAATACACGTCATCATGATGGATCGAAGAGCCTCGACATCAAACATTCTAGCTGCAGCCCTAACAATGGCCCAACGAGCTTGCAGGATACCAAACCAACGCTCAACATCCTTCCTACACCCTTCTTGACACTTTGCGAAGTGTTTCTCTTTTTCACTCTGCGGATGTGGCACTGTTTTGACAAATGTAGACCACCTTGGGTAAATACCATATGCAAGGTAGTATGGTCCCTCGTATTTATTACCATTAACCCAATATGTGCATCTCGGCCCATTTCCTTGTAGCAGTTCGTTTGTCAAACACTGGAGATTGGGCAAGGACATTTAGGTCATTCTGAGCTCCTAGAACACCAAAAAAAGCATGCCAAATCCATGTATCAAAAGAAGCCACCGCTTCCAAAATGATGCTTTTGGCTCCTTTTCTGTCGCCATAAGCTCCTTGCCACGCACTTGGACAGTTTTTCCATGTCCAGTGCATGCAGTCGATGCTTCCAATCATGCCAGGGAAGCCTCGCATCTCAACCTTCCTCAGAAGCCTTCGCATGTCCCTTTGCGTGGGTTGCCGAAGGTGCTCATTGGTGTAGAGGGCTTCAATTGCAGAGCAAAACAACATCAGGGACTCCAAAACTGTTGTTTTTCCCATCCTTGCGATCTCATCCACTTGATCTGCAAATGCTCCATATGCAAGCATTCGCAAGGCAGCTGTAATTTTTTGCTCAGGAAGAAGACCTAGAACATGAAAAGCATCATCTTTTTGCACAAAATATGGATCATGATTGTAAACATCACTCATGATTTTATCGAACAAACTTCGTTGCATTCTAAAACGACGTCTAAAAACATGATCAGGGAAAACGCTGTTGGGAATAAAATAATCTTCCAAGAGATCTTTACCTCGTCTTTCCCTTCTTCTATCGATGTTTGCCTCACGTCTGGGTTTGGCTATCTGACCCATAGCTTCCATGATACGGCGGGAATGTGAGGCCCTCCGCCTTCTATAGTGATCATCCTCATCCTCCTCCATTGCGAAGGCCTCATCTCCACCTCCACCTTGGTCAAGATTGACCAATTCTTCTTGTTGTGCCAACAACCTTTTCTGCTGCTCTTGCAGCTGTTTATACGCTCTCCTTGAAGAAGACATTGTAATAACTCAAGATTTGAAAACGATAAAGAACAATTCTAAGCTAAAAAAAAGGATTGAGTTTAGTGTGAGGATGGATGTAGGGATGTAGGGTTTATATGGACAAAAAAAGAGAAGATGAGGTTCTGGACAATGCCACGTGGCACTACGTGATTGGTTGAAAATCTTATCGAAATCTTGGCTAAATTATTGTAAATAGGAAGTGACACGTGGTGTGTCGGGATTGGTTGAAAATCTTATCAGAAATCTATCTACAAAATAGTACGTTCGGATAATGACACGTGGCGTGACAAGATTGGTTAAAAATCTTATCGAAATCTTGCCTAAATTATTATAAACAGGAAGTGACACGTGGGTTGTCGGGATTGGTTGAAAATCTTAGTGGAAATCTATTCAAAAAATAGTACATTTAGATAATGACACGTGGCGTGACGAGATTGGTTAAAAATCCTATCCGAAATTAAAACTATTTTTTTATTTATTATTTTATAAAAAAATTATTTAATATTTTAAATGGACTGGGTGCCAGCGCATTTTGTAGGGGTGGAGATCGTTTGTGCCAGCGCATTTTTAGACTGGGTGCCAGCACATTTTTTTTGGAATGGAGATGCTTTGGCCTATTACTGTTCATTAGGGTCTATTACTGTTCACTGAAGTGGATAAGTGGGTTGGGTGCTGACGCAAAGTTTTTAGGAGTGGAGTTGCTTTTACAGTAATCATGAAGGATGCAATACTTGTACCTCAACTTATAGTTCCTTTACAAAAGAAGTAGCTAGTGGAAGTGGGAATTGAACAGCCTTCCTTGTACAAATATATCATGTATCCTACATCTGGTTGTTTCAAATACAATTGATTTAATGATTTCCAGTTTATGTGGCAAACTTTTCACATCCAAATCCTTTCATTCAAATTGTTCCATCCAAATGGAGCCTTCGAATCTTTACGGGACAGACGGATGAAGAGAAATGGGAACAACAACCAAAATTTGCTTTTGATTTCTTTTTTACGGATACAAAGTAAAGGAAAAAAAAAAAGACCAATACATAGGGACTCAACTTTCTTGCTTCAGTGATCCAAAACCATCACTACTACTAGAGTAAGCAAAGAGAAGAGGATATTACCAGAACTGGTGATGGATCCACCCTTTGAAATCACTTTGTTTTCTGCAAATTAAAATCATTAGAAACACCACGTTAATAATACTAGTTTTTAAATGGTTGATGAATCTAATTAATATATATCTTCAATTCACACTTTATGAAGCTAGGCACTTACTGCACTCTTTTGGGTGGCATATGCACCTCAACCCAGCACCACAATTTCCATTAGGCTTTTGACACTCGTCGCAGATATTAGGAACGTGGTCAGGGATGTCGAAAGACATCCTTGTCTTCAACCCATATCCTTCATTGTTTCCATGTGAAGGTGTTTCATACACACTGCTGTAACATGAGCAATTCAGATCTCTTGGATGAAAACCCATGTCTAGCTTTGTGAGATCATGAACTAGTAAGCAAGAGGACAAGGTAAGCCCATCAAGTTTGGGTTCTTGAATCTTTGAAGAAGCTCCACATGCATGCAGGCGGGTGACATTTTGAAAATGTGCTGATGGAGCAAGGTTTTTGTTTGAGCAGTTGTAGAGTAAAAGTGAGTTGGACTGTCTGGGAGAACGAAAACTTGGGGATCGAAGTTTAGGATGGGCATATTGTAGTGGAGATGAACAAGAAGGGTTGGAGATGATCAGACTTTTACATCTGTAGTTAGTGTAGGAAATTGGGAACAGGTTAATAGAGGTTCTATCACTATGGTATAGTTTTTGAGATTTGCATACAAAAATGCGGTTTAGCGGAGAAAAGGCAGTTGAATTTGGTTTCGAAAAAGGTGTTTGAGTGTTGAGTTTGTCACAAATGATTGTTGAAGTTGTTAACCAGAAATGGAGAACTAGAAGGGCAGGATGCAGGAGGCAGATTTTCTTGAATGTCTGCATATCCAAATGCACTGCACTGTTAGGTTGTTTTCAACTTTTCAATAGAGTTATAAGGAAGCAAAGAAGATGAAGATAATAGAAAATCTACTTTGCAATCTTTTGAGGAATATTACTTTGTGATTTCAAATTTTCTTGTGGACTTTTGGGAGGAATGTGTATTTAGTTTTGCAATTGCAATCCCACTTTTCCGTGGCCCAATGGAATGTGACACTTCTCCATCCTTTAGATTCTGCTGCCTGATTTCCTGCTTTTCCACCCACTACTGTTGGCGATGGTATGCTTTTTGATGGATCATCAGATCTCTCTATGTTTGGTCGCTGTTTTGTTTAACGTTAAAACATGACTTTTTACTGAATACTGTAATTAATCACACACGTTTGATCATGGGAAATTACAAGTTACGATTTGTAGATGGTTATACGTATTTGAAGTTTACCTTAAGATTTTATAATAAAATGGCACTCTGATGAGTTCTGAGTAGGGTTTTTCTTTTGGCCATTATTTTCCTCAATATCTTTCCAATTTTTGAATCTTTAATTTTCTGTTTCTCGCAGACAAGTTGTTTACATGGGACCCTGAAGCATTGCTAGTAATTCCCTTTCTTGAGCCACGACAACTAAAGCCAACAAAGTCAAAAGTACATATACCATCTTTTGCTTTTTGATAGACTAAATTTTAAGTTCAAGTACATATATGTTTGTGCTTATCTCTTTTCTTAAGATGCTTATCTCCTTTTTTACATGAAATGTAATGTGAGAAGAAAGATAAACATATACATTCGATTTTAGATCAATTTATCTTTTTTTTAGAACGACGTCAAGTGTAAAAATTAACAAAATCCCTTCAGCTAAGCTACATGTGCTTTCATGAATCCTCAAGAGAGGCAAAATGACCATAACGTAGTTTCACACAAGTTGAAATTACATTAAAAACCATTGACATCGCCATAATTAAACAGAATCCATAATTTTAATAGAAAAAAGAACTAAAAACTACACACACACACAAGCAGAAGCAGCATACTTCATCATATTCCGTTCTATTGGGTACAAAGTTTTGCAATTTTTAAGTTACTTCTGATCATTCAGGGTAGCTGGTGGTTCCTCCGCCGGTGCCTTGGGTGGTGGCTTGACGAGAGTAGCCGGGAAATCAAGCAGCACAATCTTTTCTAGAACTGTTGAAAATGTTGCTGAAAATTCTTGATGTTTAGGGTGGCCAACAAACACAGTATAATCTTCCTTCTTATCGAATGTCGTCAAGATGGCATGGGTAAACCCTTGCCTAAGCATCTCTGGGCTTTCCAAGTCCTGTCCCCTAAGAGAAAGAATAAAGCACACCGGCGAGGATCGAACATATGTTCGCGATCAGTAACATTGTTTTGTTAAGTGACTTTTAATGATCTTATTTTACAGTCATAAAGCATCATATAATTTATTGTTTTGATTTCAAATGGGGTGCCCATGGGTAAAAAACTGTTTTGCTTTTAGTTTATGTGTAGGAATGTCCACTTACAGTCTGACAACATAAACGTTTTAAATATCAAATATTTAACAAGAAAAGTAGAGAATTAATTACCATTCAAATGATTTAACAGCATCAATCTCAGCAACCATTTTCTCCAGATCTTTCAAAATGTCCTCCACCACCACATCTTCCTTGAACTTAACAATCACCAAATGCTTGAACTCCCCCATAATGTTTTTTGCTAGTTCTACTGCACATGAAGCTGAAAAATGAGTCCCCAAAGTCCACAATTTATAATACCCTACATAACCATTGTTTGTGTGTCAACCTCAACAGTCCTACTCCTGCCTGTCCACTGTCACACCCAATGACCCTGTTTGGAGGATATCAATCAGTCTTCAATCTTGGGACAACAATATCTCTTGCTCAATATTTCTATGGGGCTATAGTCCCACTAGTCAGCAACCTAGTCGCTCAACCGCACAGTCTGATTTTGTCCAGTTCTATTGTCATAACTTTGCTTTTGCGCATGAACACGATGATTGAGTTCCTTTATGCCCATATTGTTTGAAATTACAGTACTCTTGTGGGACTGGATATGTTGAGGGAGGATGATCCTCTACCCTCCTAATCTCTCTACCTTTTCATTCTCATTTGAACGCTCACAGTTAAGCCATGTCAACATCTTATATTGATTTTTTTATAGAGATATTAAGAAAAAAAAATGTGTGAGAGGAGGAGATTGAAGAGGATAGGAATAGGAGGGTAGAGAATTCTCGTTGAGGAGCTATTATTGCTTTGCAGAACTGCTGTGACTATTCTAAAACGTCTATTAAATATAATTTTTTCGTCCTTGTAAGGTATATTTTTATATAACATATATATATGTATATATGTATGTGTGTGTGTGTGTGTGTATTTCCCAGTTCTATAATTCATTTGGTCTTACTGCTGGACTTTTCTCCATGTCCTAGCCATATGCTCCAGGGTGTATTATTGGAGCCTAATATGCATGGATGATATGTCACATGCTCATCTTTAAGGAATCTTACAAAGGTGATATAAAGTGTATTTGTCAATCCAATGTATGATTAATTCTTATATCGGGATACAATTTTCGGGAAATTGAAATGGAGTTTTCTCTGCATTCAAATCATGTGCAATTGTGTGGGTTAGATCAAATGTAAGCTAATAAAGTCGTTCGGCTCATTGCAAGTGGCGGACAAACACGTCAGCCCTAAGTCCAGCAACTGACATTTTGTTGCGTGGCATGTGGCCCGCGCATCGGAGCGCTGCGCGTGGCATAAATTTGCCGCGTCCGCGCGCATCGGTGAGACTCGCCTTCATCCCAAGCTCAATTTATGGAGAGAATCTTGGCCATCACGAATTTTTCTCCTCAAGTATCATTTTAGCCCGAGTTTTAAAAATGAAAACTAACGAAAAATTTAAAAAAAAATTAGTTTTAATGAAAAATAATAAATAAATATGTAATGAATAGTACTAGAAAAAAATAAAAATATGATTTTTCGTTAAAAATGAACAGTACCTGAAGTGTTTCATTAAAACTCTTTTATTAAAATGGTTTAGGGGCCGACCATTCGAGATTTGGAAAAATTTCCATCTCAACATTTTACCGCTGGCGTACTAGAAACCTCGAAAAATTCTTACTAAGATTAAAGAAGTGTTTTGTGATAGTTTAGAGGTAATGATTACCTTTCAATTATATTAAAGGCTCTAGTGTAGAACATATAATTTACCCGATTAAGAGCATTTGACGAATAATAAATTCTATAATGTTACTTAGACGTTGTTAAAACATTTATCTTAAAACTTATCTTAAGAACATAATATCGAACATTTGTCTTGATCCATTTCAATTTTTTCTAACCCTTTTTTTTTTCGGTCGACAGATTTTTCTGCCCCTTAATCATTTGCATTGGCATTGTCTATGATCGTTCATATGCATTATATCTGTGTAATTAATTGGATGACTATTTATGAACTTTTGTTGTGATTAATGCAGCAGTTGGGCCTACCTTATTTTTCCAACACATATTTCATTTACATTCCGGCAAAATAATGCTGTTTTCTTTAATGGATGGATGCATAGGGCCACTGGGGACGGTTACACAATTTTTTTTTGACATAAATCTACATGTAGATTAGCATGTAGATTACATGCTAACTGAAGCCATCAGCTGATCTTCCATAAAAATAAAAAAAATAAAAAATAAAAAACATCCCACGTTCCCTACTCAGCATCCACTCTTTTAACATGTGGTGGCGTGCAAATCAAATATTAAGACTTGATCTCGTAATTATTGAGTCCACACTACACTCCCCAAGCATAAGGTGTTGCATAATTACTTCATTAATTTGTGTTACCCCATGTAACGCTTTCAAATTCATTACTTCAGTGGCACAACTAAAAATTGTCAGGGCGGCCGGCAGGTAATTATTCGGGCGGCTGTTGGGGTGAGGGTGGGGGTTGTTAGGATGGAAAGGGGAGTTTTATAAAAAAAATGCAGACAACCAAATCTTTTAGATAGTAAACAATATTAATATCGTTCATAACTTATCAATACAAACGAAGTTACAATTGTTGTCGGCGAGATTTCTTGTCATAAAGACGTCGCATGATAGCTTCATTATCAATAAAAGAAAAAACATTTGTTTCAATGTGTTGACCCTAAAAATTACAAAGCCTACGCAGCGTGCAAGCCAAGTAACTAATAAGCTAACTACGTCCTTCGGTTGAATGCGGGGCGTGCCAACTCGTCGGCCGAGGAGTAAAATTTGTTGATGTTGCGTTGAGTGCGCTGCTAACTTCTTAATCTTGCGATTGCGGCCGAGGAAGGAACATATCTCGGCCTTTGGATTCTCGAGCCTGAAGACAAGGTTGCTAGTTCTGCGAAGTTCAATATCAAATTCGGCTCTCAGGATGCCGAATGTAGTAACCTGATAACACTTCACTTCGCCGAGAAGGTTAATGAGATGACCTCTGCCAATAAGGATTCGAAAATCCTTCTCGACCGAGACTTGGATAGATAACCAGTCGACCTCGATGCAGTGCTGTTTATCCAAACTGAAGGTGCTTTGGGAACGGTTGATTCTATGGCAACAGTGCTGTTTATCCAAACTGAAGATGTTCTCCGGTTGTCTTCACAGTGCTGTTTATCCAAACTGAAGATGTGTTGACGGAAAAAAGAAAATAAAAAATCTCAAGATGTTTGAGAGGTTTTGCGCAGGGCAGTTGTGTGTTGAATTGGAGGTCTTTCCTCAGCCGTTCATGCTTCTGCATTTATAGAACATATTTACCTTGGCCTGGCCTGATGATTACGTAGAGTTCCTTTGCAACTCAAACTAGTGAAGCTGATCCGTGCCATAGGCTAAGGCCTATCCTTATATTCGAAACTTATCATGTCACCACAAGTTTTATCTCTATGCAATCACCTCACCAATCAAATCCATCATGTATACTTCCCCTGACAAAGACCACATGCATGCATGATCATTCCTTCACCAACTTAAACTCTGAAACGTAATTATAACTGATGAAATATCATCACCAAATCCCAAGACGAAGCCACGTGCCACAACCTGTCTACATGTAATTCCATCCTTTGACTCCTTATTCTCATCTTTATTTTCCTTATTCCCTTATCTAACAACTATTCCACATCTGCATGCAAATTGTTGTTTTGGTTAGATGAGAAAATAAAAAGAATATTCTTTCATTCTTTATCTCTTCAACAACCGTCTGATCACACCTTCATTCAACACCTGAATGCACGGCATAATCTTCAAATGATCAGGATAATTCCAACTATTTAATTACCATGGTTTATCGTAACCATAATAATGTAAAGCAATTGAAAATCACATTAATATTCACATCCAATAGCTTAGGATCCTGTTCATTTAATGGCCTCGATTACTCAGACCGATGGTGCAAAATTGGGTCCAAACATTGCCCCCCAATTTCCTTGGGCTTCAGCTCGTAAGCCGAACGGTTAAGGAAATTGATTGTTCTTCCTTGATATCCTCAAATTTCTCGGTTTGAGTGTGAAACGCCGAAAAATATCGCCGAACCAAGCACTACATTATTCTTTCTGGGGACTCCATTTGACGAAATCACATCACATCACATGTACAGAGACACTTTTCTTTTCAAATGAAAACAAATTCCAGCATGTGAATAGGGAGAATGCCATGCATTCCAATAAAGCACATGGTATCTCATGTTTTGGATGATGGCAAGCTCCCCCATTTGAACTGGAGTAATGCTAATCCACATGCATATGTCGATTACATTTTCATTCTTTTCTGACTTATTTTCACTTGTGATTGGGCAAACAAGTCAGCATGCTCCCACATTTCTCTTCCTTCAATGCAAACCTCACCGAATGTAATACGGTTTGGCCTATTGAAAGGTTTCATGGCAGCACTTATAAACATGAAAGACGAAACAGAACTTCAGATTTAACCGAGCTCGGTCAAACAATTCTGCAATTCCATTTTCATGGCTATCAACCAACACTGTTAAGAAGCCTCGAACAACTACTATTTTTATAGCATATTAATAACTGACGCCATCTCTGCCTCACAGCAAAACCATTTTTGCCAGGAACCCAAAAACTCAATCCTAACCAATGTCAAACTGAACATGGTGTCGGTCGAATACTTCGTAGGACAACAAAATCGCCGAATTACTTCCTGAAATCATCAAGCACATCTCTTTTCTTTGCTGCCATCTTTCACCGAGCAACAGGGGAAATACTTCTTTTTCTTCAGTACTGCACCGAATAAAGTAAATCCCGACTTTCTTATTTGGGGCCATTCGGTGAGAGTGAGACCAAACCTCCACCAAACTAACAAATTGGTTCGACGAGAAGCAAAGTGTATGCAACACCATGGGCCAAATCCAAGCTCCGCATTAGTTTTAACATTGTCGACCTCCATGAGAACAAACTCCACCGAACACAAAATAATTCAGCAAACAACATCCACGGCTTCCAATTACTTGAATGTCAACTTTGTTGGGCGAACCGAAACTTGGCAATAAACTCTGCAGACCAACAACTGTAAACAAATATGTGCTAGTCGAAGTGGAATCCAATTATCTCACCTCTTCTGTAAAAGTAAGTCGTCGAATCGTCGACCCAACTCGACCAACCACTGTGCTTGACCACCTTAACTCGCCTAGTCTCTGAGTCACACCCAATCCAAGTGCGCCGATTACACCGCAACAAAACTTGTCCTTGGCACACCCAAGCTCATGTAAGTGGAGATGTAAACCAAATAATTTCTCATGGAAAAACTGAACTCCCATGGTCGAGCAATGGGAAGGAAGAATGACCGAAGATAGGCAGGTGTAGAGCATACTGTAAATATTCTTTTTAACCGCTGAGGATACCCACCTTATACAAATTGATTCGGCGTGGGTTTCGACCGAAAGTAGTCTACCGAAGACCACCAATAATAATTAAATGAACACAATTCAGAAAATGTGAGAATCGGCCGAGCCATGTGGCCGAAAAAATGTATTCAGCATTAAAATTCCATTCCTTCGATCACAATTGTTGAGCACACCATCAGTTGGATTGCCGCACCACTTATTGCCCCCTTATTTTCTTATGCATCGGCCTAAAAGGCTGAATGGTTAAGAAAATAATTTATTCTTTTTTTTTTTTTAGCAAAAGAAAATGAAAACAACCTAATCATAATCATAAGGAGGCCAACGATGCTTTATTCCAAGCCAAGATCTTTTTATATCAAAACTTTCATTTTGCTCTAGGCTGAATAAAGAATGATCTCCAAATATTTTTGACTCGGTGAAATGTTTGTTATCACCAGCTGCCGAATGTGTTTGACCATTATTATGCCCCCTAGGCATAATTACTTGGTTAATTTTGGCTTTTAATTCAAATAACTTGGCCGAATAGGATTTTTCGATATCGGCTTTATCGCCAATAATCATATCAATTGGCGTAGTTTTGGCTTCTAAGATCATGTCTTCAATTACCATATCAATTGATGTGGTTCTTCCGTTTGAAGCCGTGTATCGGACTTGTTCATCATTAGAACACTCCTCTGACGAATCATTTTCTGAGTCAATTTTTGGCTCAGAAACTTGAACATTTTCTTCTAGGCCTACCACATTTTCAGTCTCGACCAGAAAAATAGGTGGCCTTTGTTCTTTGGCTAAATTAACAATTTTCTTAGGCCGACGTCTAATTACGGCTGGAGCGAAAAATTGCCCCCCGGTCTTTTCAACCAACCATTCCTCAAATGGAATCGATTTGTAGTCGAAAACGTAAGGAAAATATTTTCCATCTAGCCAGGTATTAAATCGAGCCCTATCTTCATTTACCCATTGCTCTTGCAGGGTAATAGGAGCTTTTAGTCTCAACATGTAAGCGAATGACTTTTGCATCTCTGTATGGCCACGAAGAATTTTTTCCACTTCCAAAGATCTTTTTCGTTCCTCATTGTGTTTTTTCAATTCCTCTAGGAGCTCGAACAATCGGCTATGTGGAGCCAGAATGGAATCTTGATATATCATATAAACTTCATAATTTTAGCACTGGGTCCCACTGGGCGTGCCAAATGTAGTAACCTGGTAACACCTCACTTCTGCTAGTTCTGCAAAGTTTAATATCAAATTCGGCTCTCAGGGTGCCGAATGTAGTAACCTGGTAACACCTCACTTCGCTGAGAAGGTTAATGAGATGACCTCTACCAATAAGGATTCGAAAATCCTTCTCAACCGAGACTTGGATAGATAACCAGTCGACCTTGACGCAATGCTATTTATCCAAACTGAAGGTGCTTCGGGAACGGGTGATTCTACGGCAACAGTGATGTTTATCCAAACTGAAGATGTTCGCTGGTTGCCTTCACAATGCTGTTTATCCAAACTGAAGATGTGTCGGCGGAAAAAAGAAAAAAATAATCTCAAGATGTTTGAGAGGTTTTGCGCAGGGCAGTTATGTGTTGAATTGGAAGTCTCTCCTCAGTCGTTCATGCTTCTGCATTTATAGAACATATTTACCTTGGCCTAGCCTGATGATTACGTAGAGTTCCTTTGCAACTCAAACTAGTGAAGTTGATCCATGCCATAGGCTAAGGCCTATCTTTATATTCGAAATTTATCACGTCAGCACAAGTTTATCTCCATGCAAGCACCTCACCAATCAAATCCATCATGTATACTTCCCCTGACAAAGGCCACATGCATGCATGATCATTCTTTCACCAACTTAAACTCTGAAACGTAATTATAACTGATGAAATATTATCACAAATCCCAAGACGAAGCCAAGTGCCACAACCTGTCTGCATGTAATTCCATCCTTTGACTCCTTATTCTCATCTTTATTTTCCTTATTCCCTTATCTAACAACTATTCCACGTTTGCATGCAAATTGTTGTTTTGGTTAGATGAGAAAATAAAAAGAATATTCTTTCATTCTTTATCTCTTCAACAACCGTCTGATCAGATCTTCATTTAACACCTAAATGCACGGCATAATCTTCAAATGATCAAGATAATTCCAACTATTTAATTACCATGGTTTATCGTAACCATAATAATGTAAAGCAATTGAAAATCACATTAATATTCACATCCAATGGCTTAGGACCCTGTTCATTTAACGGCCTCGATTACTCAGACTAATAGTACAAAATTGGGTCCAAACACAATGTAAACAATCAAGCTATCACTCAACCATTGATCTCCCATTCTGTTACACAATGGTATTTTAACAATATTCATAATGAAAAACGCTTTCTCCACCCAAGCAGTTGCAACCAGTAACATCAAAGTCAATGTAAGAAGCTTATATACTAACTTATAAGTGCGTAAAAATCCATCATATTAAGTGTAAACCAAACTATTTCATGAGCCACAAATTGTAGGGTTTGGATTTCCAATGACAACTTAAGATTTTTGTCATGAGTTACAACTTAATATCGAATTAATTACTAAACGCTTTTTGACACTTTATGAGTCGAATTTGACACTTAAGTCATGCGCATATATAATAGGGTGAAGTACCGATGTAGTTCCTAAACTATTAGCCCAGTGCAAATTAAGTCCCTGAATTATTTTTTCGGTAAAATAAATCCCTAAATTCATTAAGCCCTTAACATTTCATATAGGTTGTGAATCTAACATATAATTTACCCTCCAAAGTTAACTTACACTATTTATTATGAAAAACTACCAATTTACGCTACAAAGTTAACCAATTTAACCTCCAAAGTTAACCCTATACCCTATTTCTTTATGAAAAACTATCAATCTACCCTCCAAGATGTATCATATACAATTAATGTAACTTAAATTGACGGAAAATTGAATATAGTAGCTTTGAATATAATATTAAGGATGTAATTGACAGATTTTTATAATTCAATGATTGATTTTTTTTTAAAATAATAATTTAAAAGTTTAATTTTTCACTGATGTGATAATTCATGAGCTAAATTGGTAGTTCACCCTATATAGTATGATGATTCTTAAAATAGATCATAATTTCCAAATCTTCGTATCATCAGACCAAAAAGATAGCGTCCATTATGATTGAACAAAAGTAGAAATAGAGGCAGCCCCTCTTGCATGGCTAGCCTTTTAAAGGAAATCAGCTGCCTTGCTTGCTTAGTTGAACAACTGCTCCTTTTGAACAGAAAAGGAGGGCATATGCATTCCAGACTGTCTGCTCCACCGACAATGTAATGACAATTACCTACTATAACTATAAGTAATAGGCTTCTTAGCTTCAATTATTTTCGGCCCTGCTATGATCACTAGTCAACAGGACATGGTTTTTTTCTATGTTTTTATTTATGTTGTTTCTTACGTTCTATAATTTAGATTCCTGCACCGCAAATTCTAGATCTCTGCATCGTACATTCTGAAATTGTAGTGTGACGTATTTTAGATCTATAGAGTGTTACTCAAAGTATGTCAGAGTTTTTACTGATCTAGCAAAAGTGACTAGATCACATATACCAGTTGTAACCTTGCCTACAAGGATAGATGTGCCTCACGTATGTTGAAACACACCATGGAAGAACAAGCCGCCCTCGAGCGACGGTTGGCCGCACATGTTGCACGGCCTGGTACATCGGTGGCTAGCCAATCATCTGTTCCTACCTAAAAGCATGGCAGACCCATTGGTTTAAGGGATTCACAACTAGGAAAAAGAAAACCACGACAGACACTAATGAACCTGGTTCAAATCCTACCATCGCTAAATCGTCCATTCTAACACATGAGATTATTTTAGATTATGAAGTGTCCTAGAAGAGATGAATCCTCCTATCTTAGGTTTTACCATAGCTAGGTTTTGTAAAGTTTACTTATATATGCGTTATTCTACTAGTTTTAAGACTCTCATTCACTATTGTGCTGACTAAACGAGACAACTTCATCAACTAGTTCTGCATCATCAATGAAGATCTAATAGGACAGCTACTCGAGTATTTACACACTCAAGGAGTATTGTGATATTAATTATAGCACATTTGTGATTGTGTAAATTATAAGTAGATTGTCTTTAGAATTCCTATGTAATCTAGAAGATCTTATTCCTCTAGATTTTTATTACTTGCAAGGCAAGTAAGCTTACTAAGTTTATTACAAATGAAGGCATGAGTGATGAGAAACATCATCACAAAAATTACCTCACTCTCTTAGTTCCCTACGCACTCTCTCTCTCTCTCCTTTCAATAAAATAGGTCACAACAATATGCACTATTTTTATGTGTAAGAACATTTTATACATATATCTATATATAGTGACCCACTAAGAGATCGTATTCTGCAACATTTTTAGTCATGAGCAAATCTACCAACTAAAATACTCATAATGCTATTCTTTGACAACCAAACACTCAACATAGACTGCGATCAAAACTTTTAATAATTAAGGGTGATAAAAAATTTTGATTTACCCACTTCCTCTCCCCTCTTTTCTATCTACATCTCTCACTACTCTCCCACAGTAACTCACATCACTAACTTTTATCTCTGCATCTCTCTCTACTCTCCTCAGTAACTCGCATGCATAACTGCAAGAGTCCTCTTAGAGACCAACTTATTTCAACCTCATAAACTCCTAATCCATCTAATTTCCCTTGAATCCCTAGCAAGGTTGAGTTGTAATTTCACCATCTGGACTCCACCTTTCTTGCTTGAGCGTTCGATTCTTCTGAACTCAATTGCATCGAGATAGTTCAGTGTTTGCGCTGGCATAGTGACACAAATGAGAAACCATAATATAGGCCTTCATTTTCTTTTCCTCTTCTTTATGTCGAAAAATAGGTGAACAACTCTTTAACTACAATCTACATGTTGAGGCAGCTGATGCTGCTCCGGTGAGAGAAACCCTTGAGACTTTTTAAGCTGAGAAACTCGTTTGCGATGGACACGACCCTGCCTGTGTTGTTCCCACTCGTGTGCTCCCCTCAGGATCTTGTCACCACAGGCCTAGCAATGGAAAGTCATTTGCACACCAACTTAGCCCAAGTCAACTAAATGACACGTCTATATAAGCACCACAAATAAACTACAATGCGGGATGGAGAAATTGAGCAAACAAGAACAGTGTCCCAGGGCAGTCAACCAGTCCTAACCTTGCATGTATACTGAGTCCACAAGTCCCGCTGCATCGTATTCACTCCAATGGTATATCGGGTATCCGAATCAGGAACCAAACTTGAATCCTGATTGAGGAAAGATCTAATCATTTCCACAGCAGGTCCAACCACTTCTGTAGCCCATGTATTATCCGCTTTGCCTATATGTATCAGAAACGAGAGAAAAAAAAACGAGTAGAATAACATTACACCAAGTCCCACTGAAAAACAAGAGAAACAAACGAATAAAAGAAACTAGGAAAAAGATAAGACACAGAAGCATACAGGATATGGATTCTGTTGCATCCAGGAAATGTATGTTCCATCCAAACAGTGTCTCCAGGCGATTTATCCTTCGTTTCTGTGAAACAATATAATTACGTTACAAATGTTCTCACTTATGTTTTCGAAACTGTTTAAGATTGTAGATATATAATCATTCAGAGTATAGATTAGCTAAATGAAATATGGAGTGGCGTCCTCCCTTCACCACCCTCATGGGGATGGTCTAGCAGGGTTTGTTGTCAATACGCTCCATAAAATGTTTGAGGCAGGAAAGAAATTCAATCAAGAGGAAAGACCATTGAAGTGCAAGAGATAACGTAAACCTCAAACGATCTAGAATTGGCTGTTAAAACACTCTCACAATATCAAGGGCATCATATTCATTAAAGGATTTCCAACGATGAATAACAGCAGAAAAAGTCGTCAGATAAGTAAGTTCTGTTCATAACTCGGGAGTACTTTTATTGAAAATGTACACTGGCCAGAAGTTATGAGAGTTAAGTCAGACTAACAGAGGCATGCTTCTATGGTGCAAACAAAAATTAAAAAAGTGAGAAAAATATCACCAGAAATTCATGCATAAAGAATTCAGGTAAATGTGACAAAATCAATTTACCTGACGACGAACTAGTCTTCGGGTGTTCATTTTCATTTTATCAATAGCTTCTTTTAACACAATTTTGGGTTGGCTGTCACTGAAAGACTTCAAGATTTCCCTCATGTTCTCCATCAATTTCTTATCAGCCAGGTCTACTAATTTCAAGGACATGGACTCATCTATCAAATGATTTCCTTCATCACTGGCTTCAACAATGTAAGCTCTCAAAAAGTTTTCAAACTCCCGAACCCCAATGGCCTGCCGCAAACCACGAGTATAATCTGCATTTGGGTTGAAAATTTCATAGGACTTCATTAAGCAACCCAGCGTCTATCATGCAATCTACTCTTTGGTCCACATATTGGTCCAGCACAGGGAGGGAAGCATTCACACATATAAAACAGCAATTGTATCGGAAATTATCAACTCGCCCCCAGTTCTGCCCAGCCACATGCAAAAGTTAAACATCATGTTGCTTTCATCTTATTAATTTTATTATATTTAAAATATGTAAGGAACATAAGGAGGTCCAATCTCATCAAAGCAATTACACTTCCAACTTCAAGTGTGGAAAGAGAGTGAATTTTTATAAATATACATAAAAAAATAAAAATAAAAAATAAATAAATAAAACTAATATATGAGCAACCAAGAACTTGGAAGTTGTACACAAAATAAAGGGCAACAGAAATAGGTCCATTATGCTCATGCTAGAATAATATCTTATTATCTTTTAAAAAATGTCGAAAGAAAATCATAATGCTTTGATTAATGAAGATGTCCTATCTGAGGTAAAAAAATAGATTCTCCTTGAAGGAAACAGATATATGTAAAACATTGCATATAACTAGAATACCACAGAATATATGAAAAAATAGGAAAACAAAGCTTACGCACTTTGGCAGCATTTCCCTGAAGAAGTTGGCTAGGAAGAACACCATGGTGAGCATACAGACTAAGGTACTGACTAATCTGCAAAAGATTCAACATAAGATGTCGAACTGAAATACATCTGTTCTGCCACAGGGTATCAGATACACGATACTTAAGAATAAAGAGCACATAAAAGCAATTGAAACTGTATGTTTGCATGACTCATTGCATCAAATATGGGACTCTTAAATAAGACTTTTAGACAAATAAAAGAATTTCTACTGGAGTGTAAAATCATTTATAACATTTATCCCAAAGTATAAATTTGAAGGCACCTGTACTTCCCTATTTGATCATCTATTGAATAAAATCCTCGTATGAAAAGAAGGTTGACAATTGGAGTCACCCTAAAGACATGAAAATAATCTAAATTTGACTATCATAACACTGGCTCTAGGAAAAACAGTAAATTGTGTCTCAAATCTGCAAAACAAGGAATATCCTTAGAGCTCAAATGGTTACCATGAGTATTTCTTAATTTTTTTGTAAGGAAAAAATAATGCCTGCAGTAGAAGGACTAATCCGTTATTTCTTTCACTGTAAGGATACTAGATTACCTAGTAAAAGATTGTAAAATCATCACACACTATATATTCAGCAAGACGACAGTACAAATTATGCCACAAACTTACTTTTCTATGGTTATTTGGATGGACTCTGTTTGCTGCAACTGGATCAATGGCTTTAAGATAGTCATAGCCATAACCGGAATTGTCTACTTCAATAACCAGCTCAGCCTGTGGTTGTCCATCTCCTGGAAGCAAAACAAGAGATAAATAAAAAGGTCAAAATAAGTGTATACTTTCCTGTATGACCCATTTCCTTAGAAAAGTAAATATATAACAAATAAATAAATATGAGATTTTCTTAGTGGTGAAAATACAATTTTGAAGTACACAAGTTGCTATTTACCTGGATAATCACCTAAACAGCATTCATCAATATCTTCTACTGTTTCGTCTAAAAGGAATGGACTAACAAGAGCCTGGAATTGTAATATGAAAACAGAAAACAAGACAAAAAGCAGAACAAGTGAGCTGGGAAACACATAAGTTAAATGTTAAAATTTTGATTCTTTATTTTAAAAGAAATTCCATGTCAGCACTGAGATTAGTCCACCATAGAATTACACGCTCACAAGGTCACACAACCCTTCTCTTCATGTGGAAAAGCAAGTGGTCAGCGCTTAAGCCCCGTTTGGTTCCAGGAAAGTAATCAGTTTTCAGCTTTCAGCTTTCATTTTCACTATTTACTAAACAAGGATCTATTGGGAAACATTTTGGAACTCTTATCAAGAGAGATTCTGGCTTATTTTATGAAGCCAGCTACCAACAAATACCTGTGCAGCACCAGCACATAGTCGAAGACATGGCCAACCCTAAATACTTTGTGCATGGCCTTGACTGTTGCATCATCATCAAAATCATTGAGAACCATGTTCAGGAAATCTGGAAAGATTCAGATGTGCAAGGCCATCACTAATTATAATTTTGGGTGGAAGAAGTGAAGGTCTTGTTCTTTGTGTGATACTAGAAGATTGGTTTTTAACTGTTTATCAAACCGATTAAGTTGTGGGACTTTGTTTTGGTGTTGGCAAACATTTTTCAGAAATCAAAAATAAAAAATTCAAAAAACTAATTGTGCACTCCACATAAGTGTATTTTTCTTTCTAAATATAGAAAGTTTGGAATGCACAATGAGTTTTTTGGAGTGCCAATAATAGCACATTAAAAAAAAATTCAAAACCAAAATTTGTAAAAATCCATAATAAAGTCATCTATATTGTGAACATATAAGATATATGGAATTACAAGATCTAGCACTTACTCTACTTAGCATGGTATAGTTATTGGAACCCTTTCACTTATATTTGACTCATAATTAGCACAGAGTTCTTATATTACAACAACAACAACAAAGCCTTTTCCCACTGAGTGGGGTCGGCTATATGAATCCTAGAACGCCATAGCGCTCGGTTCTGTGTCATGTCTTCCGTTAAATCTAAGTACTCAAAGTCTTTTCTTAGAGTCTCTTCCAAAGTCTTCCTAGGTCTTCCTCTACCCCTTCGGCCCTGAACCTTTGTCCCATAGTCGCATCTTCTAACTAGAGTGTCAGTAGGCCTTCGTTGCACATGTCCAAACCACCGTAACCGATTTTCTCTGATCTTTCCTTCAATTTTGGCTACTCCTACATTACCTCAGATATCCTCATTCCTAATCTTATCTTTTCTCGTGTGCCCACACATCCAACGAAGCATCCTCATCTCCGCTACACCCATTTTATGTACGTGTTGATGCTTCATTGCCCAACGTTCCATGTCATACAGCATCGTCGACCTTATTGTCGTCTTATAAAATTTTTCCTTGAGCTTCAATGGCATACGACGGTCACACAACACGCCGAATGCACTCCTCCACTTCATCCATCCAACTTGTATTCTATGGTTGAGGTCTCCATCTAATTCTGCGTTCTTTTGCAAGATAGATCCTAGGTAGCGAAAGCGGTTGCTTTTTCGTACTTCCTAGTTTCGGATCCTCACCCCTAACTCATTTGGGCCTCCATTTGCGTTGAACTTGCACTCCATATATTCTATCTTTTGACCGACTTAGGCGAAGACCTTTAGATTCCAACACTTCTTTCCAAAGGTTAAGCTTCGCATTTACCCTTTCCTGAGTTTCATCTATCAACACTATATCGTCTGCGAAAAGCATACACCAAGGAATATCATCTTGAACAGGTCCCGTTAACTCATCCATTACCAATGCAAAAAGGTAAGGACTTAAAGATGAGCCTTGATGTAATCCTACAGTTATGGGGAAGCTTTCGGTTTGTCCTTCATGAGTTCTAACGGCAGTCTTTACTCCATCATACATATCCTTTATAGCTTGGATATATGCTACTCGTACTCGTTTCTTCTCTAAAATCTCTACAATAAGTATATGATTCTATTGGTCTAGTAATCGTTGAATTTACTTAAAAACTGAATTTTGTTTCGGTAATAGATAGCCGTTTACAAAAACTATGTTTTGGTTTGAATGCCAAAAGCCAAGCCAAACCAAACCAATTAATTGACCCAGTCCTTGGAGAAAACAAGAAGAATATGATAAGAATGATGATGATGAACGAACATGTTATTCTACCAATCAGCAGCTCTTTTAAGAATTTCAGAAACAACAAATGCAGGCAGTTTTGGTTCACTCTTCTGGATAATGAAAACTGATTTCACCCTATAAACCAAATGAGGCCTTAGCTTTCTCTGTGTTGTATCAATTTTTAATTCTTGAATTCCAAAGAATACTTCTAGGGTCTACAATTGGCGTTTTTCAAAAATAGGATAGTAAACTTCAGATCAGGCCAACATATCAGTATACTCTAGAATAAATAATATGCACCAAAGAGATGGCTGCAACCATATTTTGTGCCAATCAACTAAAAATCTTGAACCTACAAAAATTGAACATTATCGTGCTCATAATCTATTTACAATAAAAATAGCAAAAGGTACTAGTCACTGACAAAATGAAACAGTTCTCTACCTGGATATAGTAATTGGTACCACCAACTATGACCGGCAAGCAGTTACGAGATAATATGTCATTGATGAGCTGTAAACCCATATGCGGAGTCAGTTTAAACAAATACAGACAGACATATAGATGAATATTTGAAACATGAAAATAGAACCGAAAGAGTGCAATGAAACAGAAAACACAGGATTGTACAAAGAAATCCAAAAAGAAATTCAACATGCTATCCAACATTCAAAGAAATTCAACATGTAATCAAACAATCAGAATCTGCTTTTGCAGTTCTTTCAAAGAGGAAAAAACTGACCACAGTCAGATATAATCCATATCCTTGGACAGTAGGTTCCTAGCGAAACTAAGTCTTGGATATTGAAAATTTAGACCGTTTGCTAAGTCAAAGAAAATGGACATGATGAACTTAACCAACCCAGAATCACTATATTCAAAGAAAACAGCTCAAAATGACCTAAGTTGGTCTGCGCATAAGTTTGGAAAGATTGGATTCTACGAGATTGGGTTCTAATAACTATTCGTGCAGTGTTTTTTATTTAACTTTCATAGTGATTCATGATTGAGACTTAATATCATAATATCAAAAAGATAAACCAACTTGAACTTAACAACACAGTGTAGACAAAACCATACCAACATTGTAGACTTCCTAGAAAGTACACGTAGCTCACAACCCAGTTGGTACCTCGCACCTAACACAAAATTTCAACTCTTACCTCTCCTTCATAGATCTTAGGGACCACGGAATTGTTCTAAAGAAATCTCCAACACTACACTAATAGCAAGAACCAATGTCAATCCTTCAGCAACATAAATTTGGCAAGTGCCTTGATTTCGAATGAAAATCAATCTTCTGACAAAGACACACCTTTTTCATCAAGATTGGACTCTAAAGTGTAACAATTTATTACACACGACGGGTATCTAAATACGCATACATGAAACAACAGCAAAAACCACCATAAATACAAAAGACAGAATTGGATTTGCTTACAAGAATGGCAGAGTCCCGAAACTCTTTTGCTGTGAACTCAACATTCGGGCTTACAGTTCCCAGCAGATGATGAGCCACTCCTACATTTTGTATGCACCAACCCATTTCCACGATCAAAATTCCCAATTCAAATTTAGTTTCTTTTTCAAAAACAAAATAAAAAGTGAGTGGGTGGAAGAAGGTGAGGACCTTTTTGTTCGTGCAGAGGGACCTTGTTGGAAAGAACATCCAAGCCACTGTAGACCTGCATAGAATCAGCGTTGATGACCTCCACGGGGAAGTGGGATGCCAAATCAATGGCCAGCTTTGACTTCCCTGAGCCTGTAGGTCCCATTATCACCACCACCTTCGGCTTCTCTTCAATGGCTTCATGGTTTTGGGGTCTCTGGGTTTCAATGGCAGCGTCACTGCTCTCCATCTCTCTCCCTCTTCTCTCTGTCTTCTCAGACTTCTCCCTCCGCAGTCAGGTGCAAACAAATTTAGACCATTTTGAGTCTGGACTCTGCAATTGTAGAATTGCTTTTGGGCCCAACTCTAATTTCATATATTCCAAAATTTACCCCTATTTTTGTTACCATCCCGGAAAGATTTTGAACCAGTGATTTTCAATGCGGAAGGACACTTGAAAAACAAATTTCTCTCTACTTATATAATATGACGCACCGCTCTATCTTTTAGATACATTGAAAAGTCTTTCGTATGAAATAAGAGACGGTACGCTATATATTATTATTCAATTTGAAAGACATTTGAGAAAAAAATTCTCCAACTGAATAATAACATGTAGTGTATCATTACGTGTTTTGACCTTACTAAAAAATCTCTCACCATTCAATCTTATTTATATTACAATTCACCACATACATAAAACAACATTAATATAACAAGAGTAAAGTTGCATTTAACACATAACCGATCAAATCAAACAAAACAGTTTAAAAGCCGATTTGAACCGATTTATTGTGGTTTGATTTGGTTTTGATACTTCTGAACTTGACCAAACTAAACCTTACTGGCCATAGATATTTAATTATTTATTTTTACTTGTCAACATATTATGAGTTATTTGAAGTCTTACAATACAAATATTATAAGTGTCACCATAATTTAAGTTTAATGACGGTTAACAGTTCAGAAAATTTGTTTGTTACATGAGATTTTATTTAATTGAAACTTAGTCCTCGTTAATTTGACAAACTTAAATCTTTTGATCAATGTGTAAGATGTGTGGTTGCTCATAAAATTAAAACTCTTGAAATTGGACTTTTTTTATTAATGTACTGGAAAACAAAACCGATTAACAATGATTTGGTTCGATTTCAATGACGGTGTTGGTCAAAACCAAACCAAACTAAATTGTTGAAAGCTAGTTGGTTCACTTAATTATATTTTTGGTATGGAACAAAATTAAACCAAACCGTGGCTACTGTCCACCCTTGCATATATACGTTGATTAAGTTGTGTGACATGTCAAGAATTGCCGCCCCAACCAGAAAAAGGTTGGCTTTACTTTTGTACAGTAGGGGATAATCGAAATCGAGAGCACGAGTGCAGAGATGAATACTCTTTGTTAAGAAGGTACCGAAGGAGGCAGGAAGGCAACTGCAAGCCATGCACAGAGAAGATATAGCACCTTAAAATATTGCATTGCATCTAATAACAAGTTTAAACCTAAGCCTTCTGACATTCTTTTCTTGTATAAAAGATCTCTATAGTTTTGTATGGGGAATATAATATCATCATCTTCCCAAACAATTTCTCCCTTCGTCACTAGGGTTTCGAAACTCGCTTAAATGACATTTCAGTTTCTTGACATCTGCTTGCCGGAGCGGCTTCAGCAAGAACTCCTCAGCCCCTTCCTCAAGGCACCTGTGATCTCACATGGAAAATTTTGAAGGATCAATAAACTTGATATTCCTTGAAATATTTTGTTCTATAAAAAGCAAGAAAGAACAAGAGATAAAAATTTGAGATTTCTAGTGCAAGTGGCTTACTTCTCAATTCGGCTAGGAATGTTCTCAGATGATACAACAACTACTGGTATCTCCTTCCCTTTTGGCGATTCCTGTTTGATTACAAGGACATATTGGCAGGGTTAGATTAGTTTTATTATTATTAAGAGGATGAGTAAATGGTCGAAATTATTACAATAATTTAAAAAATATGTAGTTTCAAACTCCGAAACACATGGGTGGAAACATAACACCATATCCACTAGGATATTAGACCACATGCGAAAATTAACCAGTTTACTGTTTATGCAATATCTGGTTCTAATTATATGGAAGAAATTCATTAAATTTAGATTTAATCCTAAATTTAATAATTAACATTACCTTAACTCTTTTTAGTAGCTCATACCCTGTCATTCCCGGCATACAGTAATCAGTGATTATCATGTTTACGTTTGAAACCTGCAACGTATAATATCAATTCCCAATATCTAAAAATTGAAAAACAAAATAAAATAAAAAGTAAAGGTATTTGAGGCTGATAAAAATTGGGACAAGGATTGTCTGCCCTTCCATTTCTAGCGCCCTCCCGTGCTCTCCTATTAGTGTGGTCACGATTAAGTCACGTCAATATTTTATATTACTATTTATTTTTATCTTATTATCTCTATAAAAAAAATATATAAAATACTAACATAACTTAACCGTGATCACACAAAACAAGAGGACATAGAAAATAGGAGGACAAACAATCCTTGTCCTAAAAATTGTACATGAATTTAATTGACTTACGGTGTTAGCGAAGTTCTGTTGCCCCTCTGCCAAACCCAATAGCTCCAGTGCTCCATGTCCATCCTCTGCAGTAGTCACTGCCATCAGAGGAACCCAAATATTGCCAAAATTGTTAATACTCGTATAAAATAAAATATAAATCTTCTAGAAAATAATATGGCAAAGTTCAGATCGTATCTCAAACAATCTCGTTAGTTTGATCTAAAGTATTTATCCATGCGCCCAAGAATCTAAATTAAATCCGCTAAGAGTATTTATCAAATATTAACCTTTAATTTCAAAAATGTTAATTTTTATAAAAACTTTTAAATATATTCAAAATATCACTTAAATAGATATAAATAACATTAATGCATACAAATAACTAGTTGTTGATTAAAAGATTCTTGTGCGATAATCAAGTGGTGCTTTCACTAATTTTTCTAATATGCATCCGAAGAATTTCTATTTCATAAACCTTAAAATATGCTTTTTGCACTTTCTAGGAACACAACAGATCTCTCGATTCACTACCACAGTCAATGATAACCTTCAAAATAGAATCTGGACACGGACAACACCCTTAATAATGCAAAGGTGGAAAATTAAATACAAAGCACATATAATCCAAAGGAAAATTGAGATAAATAATGTTACAAAAATTGACAGTTCATTCTTCCATAAATATTCAATCAAAGAAAGAAACTATAAAAGCAAAGAGAAAACGTAGACAAGGAAAAGTGCAAAAAATTAACTATCTACACTCATCTTCGTTTAGGGGTGAACAATTTTTCACAAACAGTCGATACCTTCACTAAGTCTCCTCCAATTTTTAAGGTTTAGTTGTGAGAACTCTTCATCTAATAGGGTTTTGGTTTTTTAATTTATTAGGTTTACAGCTTAAGGGTATTTGTGTCTATTTAAGTGATACTTTGGATATATTAGAAAGTTTTTATAAAAACTGACATTTTTGAAATTAGGGGCTAATATTTGGCTATATTTGATAAATACTCACCCTCTAACCTACTAAATTGTTCCCAAATTTGTCACCTTGATCAACCATTAACATAGACACATATTGACTTAAAGAAGATATCCTTTTTGTGAGTTTAAAATGTTGTGGTATAATTCTCTATGAATGCAAAGAGTCATATACATATATATATATATATGTATGTATGTATTTATATATATACACACACAAAAAATTATATATAAACTGTAAAATAGTTTGATGTAAAAAAGGTTATGAAAGGGCAGATGAAAGAAGTTTACCTTTGCATGCAGACTTGATGAGTAACTTCTCAATGATTTTACGGTCCAGAAAACTATCATCAACAGCCAAAACATGTGGTACATTTTCATGTTCAAAATCCAACCCCATTGATGCCGCAGCAGATGAAGAAGAAGAAGCAGCGGCCATCTCGAAGATCTCTCAAATTAATCGCAAAACCCACCCGTGAAATTAACCCCGACTCGAAAAACAAACGATGCACTACTACTATAGCAGAATAACATTGTTTGGGTGCATTTATATGGCAAAAGGAGGCATACAAAATCAGGGAAATATCAAATTGTCACAGATATCTAGTCATCTTTTTAGGTGTTTGTGATATGATATGATATCAACAACGAAGGAAGGAGGAGTTTAGGTATAATCCTTTGAGATTGACTGCTTATTCGAGTTTATGCTGATAATCCACTCCAGCTCATCCAGATTTTCCACACATAAAAGAAAAATTATTTAGTTTAAAGTTTGGGATTTTATATCCTAAATTACACGTCAATATGTATATTGAGCAGAGAAAACGAGGATTCATTACCCTTATGTTAATCGTGGTATGCAGAGGAAAAATCCACAAGGATACTGAGAGATCTAGCATCATTAATTAATTATTAATCCTAGTCTTTTCCTTGCGATGTTAGGACCAAAATTAGGGGCCAGGCAAGAGAAAAATAAAATCAAGCAAAATTTTAAATTAGAAAACAAAGACATTATTCTTTTAGACTTTAATTAGCACAATGGGATGGATTTTAGGCAAAAAAAAATTATATAAAACGAGATGTTCATAAGCCTAAAAGACGGAAATGAATCATCCGAAAAAATATATGGCTGTTCGGTCAATTTGTTTTTTGAACTTGTACTCTATTACCAATATTGTACCTCCTGAACTTCATATTTTATCTAACTTTACCTTTGAACTATTATACATGACCAAAAAAAACAATTGTAATGGTCAATTTAGGCACAATGCATTCAAATTTTTGTTAAAATTGTTACATTTTAAGGGAGTACATCTAACAAATAAAATTAATAAAGAAAAACAATAATTAGGATTCTGACTCGGACATAAAATTGAATGAAATGTGGGCAAACATAATAGTAGGGGAAAATTGATTAGTTACAAGTTTTTAGGAGCAAATCGGCAATTAAGTACAAGTTTAGGAGCAAATTAGGAAAGTAGTAAAAAAAAAAAAAAAAATAGTTAACAATTTTTCCTAGAACAATTATCAAACCCAATTGTTCGGTTTCACTTGGGGTTTTGGTCGACCAAATCGTTCTTTTAAAAGGTTCTAACTTCAATTTGGATGTATAATTGAAGCACAGCGGACCGTGCCAATTCTTACAAATTACAATAAAAAATTTGACAAGAAAATCATTGTCTGCTTGCTGTACATAAAAATTTACGTCACCTAATACTCGAACAAATACAAGGCATAGATTGATTTAATTTCAAAACTACATAGCGGTGATAAAATTTGAACACTGTGATCCACTTTGAAAACCACCTCAAATCTGGTGAATGCAAGATATTATTAATTGTTAGCCCTAAAAATTATGTTCCTTGAGCATGGCTGTCATGACGGCATGATGTCCGGAAAATATGCATGGAAAGAGGCTGAGGATGGGTAAGGACTTAATCAAGAGAATTCTGCCAACAGGCGTGTGGGATTGATGTTGCTGGGGAAAACCACTGTTTGGTTTCATCTTCGTTTGTGTTTGATGCACGATTATTTTCATATTGCAAGCATCAAACATGACAAACGATCGATGATGATCCTATGTTCTTCAATGGGGCAGGAGAAAAAAACATCACAGGACGAAAGCAGGTGTGTAATAACACAATTCTGAATTCCGTCCGCAACATCAAGTGCGCTTCATTCAACTGTTAATCAGCTTTTAAGTATCAACAGTTTTCTCTTAAGCTAACAATCTCTTAATTATTTTGTTTCTTAACTAGCTGCTGTTTACCCTGCTCCCACTGCTCTCTTCTTTCTAATAATAGAGCAAACGAATGGTGGAAAAAGAGCTACAAATAGGTTAGTATAACAAGGGCAATAGAGGACCAACCAACTTCTAGTCTCGTAGTACTTATCTTCCCAATGTCGGCAGAGGTCCCAAGTTTGAATTCCATCTCCCGCAATATCACTTGTATAAAGAAGAAAAAACATGGCCAGAGACAGGAGAGCGACAGAACTGCATGGATCATATTAGTCACGTTGGTTTTGGCTATGCTTAGTTGCAGAAAACTGAAGTTTTTTTTTGAAACATCCAGTAAGATACCAATATTCCTGATGAAACATCACTTTTGTGATTAAGATCAATGGCTGAAAAATTAGCATAAGCAGACAAGGAAAACCTCCTTTTTCAATCCACAATTTGATTTAGCAGACAGACGTTTCTCACAATTCTATACACAATTTAGGCTACACATTCATTGGCAAGCAACATTGTTTGGGGTACTTCTGTCCATAACAGAGAACCATTCTTGATAATAACCGGTGAAACGAAGAGACAGAAATCATAATTTGTATCAGAATATAAGCACAAAGATCCTAATTACAGCACACATACACAGTACATCTTAATGCTTAATCAGCATATCTTAACGCAGATTTTCAACATGTTTGTTCAGCTCCTCCAGCTTCTTTATCCTCATTCTCTCACTTTCACCCACAAGCTGATATAAAGCACGCAGATAAGCAATTAATTGATGTATGGTAACAGTAACAGTCATTAGAAATTAATTTATGAAGAATGAAATGCTCACCTCCATCAATTTGGAAACTAGTTGAGATTTCTCTCTGCTCTTCTCATTTAAAGCCTCGAGAGCTTCCTTGTATTCTTTCTCCTGTGACCATTGATCATTATATAGACACATGAAAGGACTTAGTCTTGCATAAGTAATCTCATTCGGACGTGATCAACGTAATACCCAAAAAGTTGTGTCATACGATGAGGAAAAAGTAAAATGCAACCACAGAATCTCCATTTTCTTCTTTAACATTTTTTTATTTTTTCCCATACAACAGCATAAGCAGCTGGAAGAACAAGTAAAATGGCCACAAAGTTTTTACCTTCCTCTGGCAGCTCTGACCTAGCGGCTTTAACTCTTTGTTAATGATGTCTATCCTCTTGCGAATAATTGCAACTTCCTTTCTCATTGGATCTATCAGCGTTTCAAGCTCCTATAAGATATAATAGTTTTGAAGCAACCTCTATATGTCATGATCAACTAGTTTGAGATGAACAAATTAATAAATTGAGAAAGATCATAACATTACATTCTCGAACAATCTATGTTCGTTGCTTGAAGTGGAGAAGATAGAACATATAATTCACAAGGTAAACCATTTTATCAGATGTCCCCGGAGGGACGCAAGGTAAACCATTTGAATTCTAGTTAGCTATACAGTTTCAAAAGTTTTCATTTCAGTCATTAAATGGATCATTCTGAGAAAAAAAAAAAAAATTCTTTTAATTTAAAGCCATAAATTTAGCTTATTCTTGTGTTAGAACATTATGTTTTACCAACAAATTGAACAAGGTATAAATGTCCAATTTTAAAAAGTAAAAATATAGCATAAGATTCAGTGGCAATTGTAATTCATCACTTACTTCCTGAATCTCAGACAAGCGCTTAGTTGCTTCCTCGACGCGTCCCAGCTGAGCCTGAACCTTGTCTTTCACCTCCAACTTCTTCCTCTCAATCTCTTCCTCCTTTGCTTTGAACAAAGCCAATGCAGATCTTGACATCTCTTCTTCCTTGTCATCAGCTACCGGACTCCCATTGTAACTGACGATACCGGAGTTCTTCACTAGCTGCACCTGCAATTGCTGCTGCTCCCACATCTGTTTCGGCGTCGCCATTGGTTCCTCTGCAGCTGCAACACCCTTACTTCTCTCCCTCTTTTCTTTTCTTTTTTTTTTTTTTTCCTCTCTTTTTCTCTTCAAATGATTGCTATCTTTCTCTCCTGTTGTAGCTGGTTCGAGCAAAGCTGGCTTTAAAGGTATCCAAACCCCCCAACTTACTTTGCAACATGAATTATTACAATGACCTCAAATGACCATAATGCCTACCTTATAATCATAAAAGTTAAAGAGTGGATTTTACCTTTGTTGAACGAAGACTTACTACTTAATAACCTCTAATCTTCTTTCCACCTTTACTCAAAACCCTACTTGATAACACCATCTAAATCCTTGCAGTGAATAAAATTGTACTGTAGGAAAATTATGCCTAAGGCATCATATTGTTCTTACCCACGAGCTACAGTTTTTACTTTTAGAGGACATGTTATTAACGTCAAAAATATTTATATGCTGCTCTAGCTAGCCTGTCTACGCTCAGGTCTGCAACACTAATTCTCTTTCAATAGGAAAACTATTGGTAGTGTACCATATTGTTCTTAACTACACGCTACACTCTTCACTTTTATAGAGCGTTGTTATTAGCAGTCCAATATATTTAGGAGTAAGATTCTCTCCCTTCCTATTTTCATCCACTTCCCTCCCCTTCTCTCACATATTGCTTTTATCATATGCTATAGCTAACTTGGCTTTACTTAGGTCGCAATCACAAATTCACTTTCAATAAATAAACTATAATATTCATGTTTTGGTAAGGCAGCTATTTTCTTAAGTTGGTATACTGGCAGCTTCAGCTAACCAACTTCAGTTCTCATTCCTTTATGTATAAAATTACAAATTGTATATATTTCTGCTAATATTATATTGGCCAACTGCCCACTTCTTTACATACGAAGAAATGCAGTATAGTGTATATAAGAAGAGAGTTACTAAATTATTACAGCAATTTATAGTAATTCTAAAAATTATTTCCTTGTACTAGATATGATTTGAATAAGTGAAAATTGGTTGAAGGGTCTAAAGTATTATTTGTAATTATTAGTCGTCTCTCAAGAGTGGTGGTTGGGGTGGAAGTATTGTTTTGAGGAGTAGACTGTAAGGTCTCACCTACGCCCACACAGCAAAAACTGATGAGAAGCCTTAGGGGACAAGACAGATTAGGAGAGATTCCGAGCAGCTAAGCTGTAGTCAATTATCTAACCAGCTTGGGCATACAAGAAAGAATAAAGTCATTTGCAACTGCTAATTATATTAAGATTTAGTTTAGGAAA